GTTTCTTCAGTTTGACTAAGTCTTCTTTTCGCTTGTTTACGGTTAGTTACGAGAGTAAAAGGTTGTTCTTCATGGATAGTAGTATCTAAATTTTCAATGATTACGTTTTCTAGTTCCATTTCGGTATTTGTTTCTATTTGTTGAGAGGTTTTGCTACCCGATGCTGATGCCGAAGGTTTTCCAGTTTGGACTCTCAGTTTTAAGGGCTTATCTTTACTTCCTGTTGGATTAAACCGGTTGTCCTTGAGAGTTGTTTCAAGTTTGCTAGTAGTTGTTTTACTACGAGTAAGTCTAACAGACTTTCCGGAAGATGAGTCTTCCATAATTTCGCACTAGTTGTAATTGTTTTATTTTGTTATGCCAATTATTGCGGGATTTAAACTTTCAGGAAAGAGTTCCAAAAAGTTTTTTTTAATCAATATTTTGTAATTTAAATGGACCAGTGAGGTCTCGACTTTATTCATTAGTTATAAATCAATAAAGAAATACATGAAGAATAAAATCTGACTAAGTTATAAAAACTACGGCCTAACCTACCACTGTAGAAAAGTTACCTTTTCTACTGGGAGGTTACAACCCCACCTACGTCTAAACAAGAGAAAATATTTGAAAGTATATCTATATTATTTGTATATATATTCTTTATGGTATTTTGTATAATGTCTTTTCCTATTTTTTGTAAATGTTTTTTTTGTTCTATATATGTGTAATCTATGAACGGCCTTTTACCTTTACTTTTCTTTTCACTTTCTCCAATGTTATTTTGTTTTTCCCATTCTAAAAATTCTTTACATCTTTTTTTCCAATTATTACGTAAGATATCTTTCCATGTCACGAAAATATCCATAATCATTTGTTTACCTATTTCTGCTGAATTTACTTTGTTTCAGATTATTCTGTACAAAGATTTGGGAATTAGTCCTCTTAAAAGATTGTTGAATTCAAATCTATCGTACGGTTGCGTATCAATAGTTTGTCTATTATGATTAATTTTTAAAAAATGTCCTTGTGTTATTTTTATCATAAGCTCTTCCACCCCCTTGTTTCCTTTTTCTTTCATATATATTTTCTTTACTGTTGCTCAGAACGTAATTTTGAGATTTTTTCCTTTTTCTGAGCATAAAAATATGTGTGTGTTAGTCTCTTTATATTTATTACGGAATGGACATTCTGGTTTGGTATAGACATCTGGTTTTCTTGTATGTAAAGTTGCCATTGTTGGTAATTCTTCATTTAATAGTTTCAATGAAAAAGATCTCAGGATGCTTTCTTTTGTATTTGTTTTTGTTGATGTGATTTTTGAACCGTGCCATGATTGTATTGACCATTTCCAATTTGTTTCTTCTATGATTTTTTTGTTTAACCATTTATTAATTCGGTGCTGGGTGAACCATGTTGTTAGTGATTCTATTTCATCTTTCTTTTTTACAAATGATTTTATATCTGTATCGATATTTATTCCTTTCCAATTAAAATGACATTGTTGATCTCGAATGTAATTTGGATTTATATTAAATATTGATTCCGAATTAACTCCCGCACCTGCCAATTTATCTGCTTGTTCATTATATGTATTACCTGTATGAGCTTCTACTTTAATTAGTATGAGGTCTAGTTTTTTTGTATATGTTAATTCTTTTATAGTTTGTAGAATCAATGGATTTTTATAGTTGCTCCAGTGTTTTCCTTTTCTTTCTCCCATGTACCCCCTTATAGCGTCAATCGAGGATTTACTATCTGTAAAAATTTTTATTTCTGTATTATTTGGTATAATCCATAATACTGAAAGTATTCCCCACAGTTCCGCTCGGGTCGAGGATGGAGGGCCCTCTATCTTTCCCTTCCATGTGTATCGTTTTAAGTTTGTGTCATTAGTCATGCACACTACCCCAAATCCCATCTTTTGTTGATTGTTTTGTTGAGTATTGTTATTTTCAGGTTTATTTGTATTTTGTAGTGAGCCGTCTGTGTAAGCAATTATTTTTTTGTGCCGCGTGAGGTTGACTGTAATACCTTCCAAATATTCTAATGTCTGTG